TTTTTTTTTTTTTTTTTTTTTTAATTTATTATACTTTAAGTTCTAGGGTACCTGTGCACAACATCCAGGTTTGTTACATATTTATACATGTGCCATGTTGGTTTGCTGCACCCATTAATTCGTCATTTGCATTAGGTATTTCTCCTAATGCTATCCCTCCCCCCTCCCCCGCCCCCCTTGGAGTGCTTTCTAGGTATCCCGTCACAGCAGGAACACATTTTATTTGCTGTCAGAAGCTCAGCTCTCATCAGCCCTCCCAGGGATGGTCTCCTGCTCCCAAGTCCCAGTCCCCGCCTGTGTCCCTGCACTATGTTCCAGCCAGGCACTCACTGCTCAGGCCTGTCTCTTTTACCTGGACACAGTGTCCCTCCTGCTTTCCAGCACGCTCATCTGTAGCCAAAGCTCCCAGATGCTGCTTGCCTAGATTTCTAGGATTCATCCGTGGTCTGGCCTGATACTAATTATATCCCGGCTGTGTCCATTGTACTATTGAAGTAAACTCTTATGTCCCCAGCTCCACGTAAATCAGCCTTCAACCTCACCATGTTTTCTTGTTTTTGTTTTTGTTTTAAGACAGGGTCTCACTCTGTCACCCAGGCTGCAGTGCAGTGGCGTGATCTCGGCTCACGGCAACCTCTGCCTCCCCGGTTCAAGCAATTCTCCTGCCTCAGCCTCCCGAGTAACTGGGATTACAGGCGCCCACTGCCACACCCAGCTAATTTTTGTATTTTTAGTAGAGACAGGGTTTCACCACATTGGCCAGGCTGGTCTCAAACTCCTGACTTCAAATGATTCACCCTCCTCAGCCTCCCAAAGTGCTCGGATTACAGGCATGAGCCACCGACCCTGGCTCAACCTCACCTTTGAACATGTCACACCTGCCCAGAAGCTAGCCCTGACTCCCTATGACTTCAATTTAAGATAAAATCTCAGCCTGAGGCTCTTGGTTTGGTGTGATGTAGCCCAGCCCATCTCAGGTAACATGCCAGCCTTCGTGTCTCCAGCCTCAGTGCTAATTTCATTCCTCAGGTAAGTTCCTACCTTTCCTTCCTGTGTCCTTTGCTCTTGTTGGACTTTGTTGGGATTTCAACACAGGAAGATAGAGGGAGATGGAGGACAGTGACTAAAGGGAACAACATGAACACAGATAAAGACATGAGAATGCACAGACACCAGAGAGGAGATGTGCTTGGTCATTGATATTGGGTCCTTACAATCCCAGAGTCATAGCTCTTATAGATAAAGGAAAGTAAACGGACCATCTGGTCTACCCCTAGCTTCCAGCCTAGGGAAGTATTTTTATTCCCATGCAATATATTAGACCACTAAGACCCCGACAGTTTAAATGGCATAATTGGAGGTAGGGAGAGAAATGCTTAGACAGACAGCTTGGAGTCATCCTATACAAGACCTTTAATGCCAGGTTAAACTTGTACTCAATTCAGTGGGTGCTAGAGATAATTGAAAGCTTTCCCTGGAGCAGTGACATAATCGGAGCTATGCTTTGGGGCAGTGTTTTCAAACTGTAGGATATGACCCATTATTGAGCCACAAAGTCAATTTAGTGGATCATGAATAAAACAGAATGCAGTATTGCTTTGTGAGTTTTGTGTGTGTGTATTGGGTTGTAAGGTAAAACATACTTCTTGGCTGGGAACAGTGGCTCATGTCTGTAATCCCGGCACTTTGGGAGGATCGCTTGAGTTCAGGAGTTTGAGACCAGCCTGGGCAACATAGCAAGACCTCATCTCTACTAAAAATAAAAATAAAAAATTAGCCAGGTGTGGTGGTACACACCTGTAGTCCCAGCAACTGGGGGGATCACTTGACCCTGGGAGGTCAAGGCTGCAGTGAGCTGTGATTGTGAGCCATGATCATGCCACTGCACTCCATCCGAGGCAACAGAGCGAGACCCCGTCTCAAGTATATGTATATATTTCTTATTATGAGTCATGGTCAAAAAAGCTTGACAGCTCCAGTTTTAGCCAGGCATGGTGGTCCGTGCCTATAAGTCCCAGCACTTTGGGAGGCCAAGGTGGGCAGATCACTTGAGCTCAGGAGTTCCGGAACAGCCTGAGCAACATGGAGAAATCCTGTCTCTACAAAAAATTAGCCGGGCATGGTGGTATGTGCCTGTAGTCCCAGCTACTTGGGAGGCTGAGTCTGGAGAATGGCTTGAGCCTGGGCGGTCGAGGCTGCAGTGAGCCGTGCCACTGCACCCCAGCCCAGGTGACAGAGCGAGACCTTGTCTAAAAAAGTCTCAAAAAAGAAAAAGAAAGAAACAAGAAAGCCCCAACTTTAGAGAGGTTCATCTGAATGAGGGTATAGAAGGAGACTCCTGTCACAGCCCAAGCAGGAGGAAGTAAGGTCTGAATGGGAAGGAGAAGCCAGGGGAAGGGAAAGGAAGGAGTGGGCATGAGGGATTGGCGGGGGTAAGAGTGTCAGGATGTGGGGGCTCAGGGAGAGGGAAGCATCAATCAGGCATGACTAAAAGTCACACCTGGGTGCTTGAGGAAATGTTAGTGTCTACAGCCAAGGGAAGAAGCCAAGGGAAGTTCAGAGAAGGCGCTGATTTGAGGACCATCTCAAAAGACCGACAGAAGGACACACAGCAATCGTCAAGTATTGGATCAGTTGAGGTCCCAACAGAATCCACTCAGATGGCTTCAATGAAGAGTCCCAAGTGGGCGGGACACGGTGGCTCACACCTGTAATCCCAGCACTTTGGGACGCTGAGGTGGGCACATCACCTGAGGTCAGGAGTTCGAGACCAGCCTGGCCAATATGGTGAAACCCCACTCTACTAAAAATACAAAAATTAGCCGGGTGTGGTGGTGGGTGCCTGTAATCCCAGCTACTTGGGAGGCTGAGGCAGGAGAATCACTTGAACCCGGGAGGCAGAGGTTGCAGTGAGCTGAGATCACGCCACTACACTCCAGCCTGGGCGACAAAGCGAGACTCCATCTAAAAATAAATAAATAAATAAAAATTTAAAACAAAACAAAACAAAATAAAAGAGTCCTGAGTGAAGGGAGGATTTCCAGAGCTGTAGGCAGGTTGAAGGGAACCAGCCTGGGATCATGAGGCCCTCAGAGGTTAATCACAGTAGGAAGCTCTTCCTCTCAGATTCCCTTGGGCCCCAAGCTTGCAGGACAGCCCTTCCCGTCCACTCCCCCATCCCCAAACCAGTACACAACTGCTATTTGGCTTGTCACTATCACTGTTTCTCTTGCTACTATTATTTCTATCCTCACCATCACCCTTACCCATGCCAAGGGCTTTATACACATTCTCATTTAAACATTTTTACCTCAAGAGTTGGTATTGGGCTGGGAGTGGTGGCTCATGCCTGTAATCCCAGCACTTTGGGAGGCCGAGGAAGGTGGATCACTTGAGGTCAGGAGTTCAAGACCAGCCTGGCCAACATGATGAAACGCCATCCCTACAAAAATACAAAAGTTAGCCAGGCGCTGTGGTGCATGCCTGTGGTCCCAGGTACTCCGGAGGCTGAGGCAGGAGAATCACTTGTCTGGGAGGCAGAGGTTGCAGTGAACCGAGATGGTGCCACTGCACTCCAACCTGGGTGACACAGTGAGATTCCATCTCAAAAAAAAAAAAAAAAAGAGAGTTGGTGTCATGCCAGACCCCCATTAACTCCAGTAGGGATGGCATCAGGTTCAAGAGGCTGAAGAAGAGACCCAAAGCCAACAGATGAAACATGGGGTTTATTGAGAGGAACTTATACAGGATGGTCAGGTGGCAGCAGGCTGGGCCAGAGAAGCACCAGCACCTACAGAAAGTAGGCAGTTTCTATAGTGTTTTCATTTAGTACCCTTCCCCTAACAACCTCCACCTGGCAACCTTCATTTAGCCCAAAACAAAGGGCCTTGATCCCCTGCACAGCCCATTCCACAGGATGACGCAGGCTCTCAGATGTTCCTCATAAATAAAATATAATGATGCCAGACGCAGTGGTTCACACCTGTAATCCCAGCACTTTGGGAGGCCGAGGTGGGCAGATCACTTGAGGTTAGGAGTTCAAGACCAGCCTGGCCAACATGGTGAAACCCTGTCTCTACTAAAAATACAAAAATTAGCCAGATGTGGTGGTGCACACCTATAGCCCCAGCAACTGAGGAGGCTGAGGCAGGGCAATGGCTTGAACCCAGGAGGCAGAGGTTACAGCCTGGGTGACAGAGCAAGATAAAAATAAATAAATAAATAAAAATTTAAAACAAAACAAAACAAAATAAAAGAGTCCTGAGTGAAGGGAGGATTTCCAGAGCTGTAGGCAGGTTGAAGGGAACCAGCCTGGGATCATGAGGCCCTCAGAGGTTAATCACAGTAGGAAGCTCTTCCTCTCAGATTCCCTTGGGCCCCAAGCTTGCAGGACAGCCCTTCCCGTCCACTCCCCCATCCCCAAACCAGTACACAACTGCTATTTGGCTTGTCACTATCACTGTTTCTCTTGCTACTATTATTTCTATCCTCACCATCACCCTTACCCATGCCAAGGGCTTTATACACATTCTCATTTAAACATTTTTACCTCAAGAGTTGGTATTGGGCTGGGAGTGGTGGCTCATGCCTGTAATCCCAGCACTTTGGGAGGCCGAGGAAGGTGGATCACTTGAGGTCAGGAGTTCAAGACCAGCCTGGCCAACATGATGAAACGCCATCCCTACAAAAATACAAAAGTTAGCCAGGCGCTGTGGTGCATGCCTGTGGTCCCAGGTACTCCGGAGGCTGAGGCAGGAGACCACTAAGACCCCGACAGTTTAAATGGCATAAGGCAGAGGTTACAGCCTGGGTGACAGAGCAAGACTCTGTCTCAAAAAGAAAAAAAAAAAAAAAGAAAAGATATAATGAATCTTGGAGAAATCGAAACTACTGGGGAAAGGGAGGGCCCACTGAGAACCATCCCACTAACCCGACCACCACTGGCTTTCGCAGGATACCATGAACCACACGGTCCAAACCTTCTTCTCTCCTGTCAACAGCGGCCAGCCCCCCAACTATGAGATGCTCAAGGAGGAGCATGAGGTGGCTATGCTGGGGGCGCCCCACAACCCTGCTCCCCCGACATCCACCGTGATCCACATCCGCAGCGAGACCTCCGTGCCCGACCATGTCGTCTGGTCCCTATTCAACACCCTCTTCATGAACCCCTGCTGCCTGGGCTTCATAGCGTTTGCCTACTCCATGAAGTCTAGGGACAGGAAGACAGTTGGCGACCTGACTGGGGCCCAGGCCTATGCCTCCACCGCCAAGTGCCTGAATATCTGAGCCCTGATTTTGGGCATCCTCATGACCATTCTGCTCATCGTCATCCCAGTATTGATCTTCCAAGCCTATTGATAGATCAGGAGACATCATGCAGGCCAGGAGCTCTGCCCATAACCTGTATCCCACATGCTCCACCTTCCATTCCTCGCCCTGCCCCCGGAGCAGAGTCCTGTATCAGCCCTTTATCCTCACACACTTTTCTACAATGGCATTCAATAAAGTGCACGTGTTTCTGGTTAAAAAAAAAAAAAAGAAGATACAATGAATCTTTGGGTTGGCTGCACTGGGAACTCTGAACACACATTCAGGTGCATCTGCCATACAGGGTCATTCTCAGGGTAGGCCTAAGATATTACTGTCAGGTGCATCTGCCACACACAGGTGCATCTACCATACGCCCCACCCCAGCACACCCTTGAATGGCTCTCATAGTCTCATCACATTCCCTGGGGCCAGGTATACAGAGGAGCACTGGCACCAGCGCAGCAGCAACACAAACCACTGCAACAAAAAGAGCAACGGATACGATAGAAGGTTCTCCCAAGTTCTTGGGAGCTCATCTTGGATGTGCCACACAGCAGGCCCCTGGTGGAGGAGAGGGGCGGCTCTTTGTAGGCTCAACAGTCCATCTTGTACTGAAGAGAAGCCACCATCTGTGCCTAGTTGGACCCTTGCTTGTGCTGTGAGCTCAGCCTCTAGGGCTGCTTGGAGCATGGTCAGAAGCGGCCAGCCAACTACAGCCGCCACAGCTCAGGAATCTGAGCCTTGCTCAGTCAGATCCACCCCCTGCAACTACCCTTCCAGACCTTTCAGCATTTTCAGGGCATCCCTGTACTCACACATCAGGCCCGATCCATCAAGCATAGCGGCTCTCGGGCCCCATATAGACACGGACAGCTAACCTGGGACTTCTCCCCGCGGGTCTGCCCTTTCCCAATCTCATCATCTGGGGCTTCTCTCCCACCTCCTGCTGGGCCCACCAACTATCATGCTAGACCCCATTAACTCCAGTAGGTCAGGATGTTACTTTTGGGACTAGAAAAAAATTAAAAATTTAAAATCTTTTTTTTTTTTTGGAGATGGAGTCTCGCTCTGTCACCCAGGCTGGAGTGCGGTGGTGCAATCTCGGCTCACCACAACCTCCGCTTCCCGGGTTCACACAATTGTCCTACCTCAGCCTCCCAAGCAGCTGGGATTACAGGCGCTCGCCACTACCCCTGGCAAATTTTTTGTATTTCTAGTAGAGACGGGGTTTCTCTATGTTGGTCAGGCTGGTCTTGAACTCTCGACCTCAGGTGATCCAACCACCTCGGCCTCCCAAAGTGCTGGGATTACAGGCATGAGCCACTGCGCCCAGACAAAAATTTAAAATCTATTAAAAATTTAAAAAAAAAAACCTTCCAGTAGGGGTAGTACCATGTCTGAAAGGCCAAAGAAGAGACCCAGCGAATGAGACATAGATTTTTGTTGTTGTTGTTCTTTTTCTTTTCATTTTTCACTAGAGATGGGCCTCGCTATATTGCCCAGGCTACTTTCAATCTCCTGGGCTCAAGGGATCCTCCTGCCCCAGCCTCCCAGCGTGCTGGGATTATAAGCAGGAGCCACTGCACACGTTTATTGAAGGGCACTTACATACAGAGTGGTCTGATGGAGGTGAACTGGACAGGAGAATTGCCACTGCTTGTAAAAATGCATGCAGTTTATAGCATTTTCACTTAACACCCTCCCCCTAACAACCACCACCTGGCAACCTTCACTTAAACCAACACAAAGGGCCTTGATTCCCTCTACAGCCTTCTGTGGGCAGGACAAGAGTTCAGATGTTCCTTATAGATAAGGAATGAATCTCTGAGTTGGCATATTTGGCACTGAGAACACACATTCAGGTGCATCTGCCATACAGGCTGACTCTCAGGGAGTGGTTAGGTTATTGCTGTCAGGTGTGTCTCCCATACACAGATGTGTCTACCATATAGTTGGTCCTATCTTTTTTTTTTTTTTTTTTTTTTGAGACAGGATCTTGCTCTTTCACCCAGGGTGGAGTGCAGTGGCGTGATCATAGCTCACTGCAGCCTTGAATTCCTGGGCTCAGGCGATCTTCCCATATCAGCATCCTAAGTAGCTAGGACCACAGGTGTGTGCCACCACACCTGGATAATTTTTTATATTTTTTGTAGAGAAAGGGGGTCTCGCCATCTTGCTGAGGCTGATCTCAAACTCTTGGCCTCAAGTGATCCATCCACCTCAACCTCCCAAAGTGCTGGGATTACAGGCAAGAGCCACTGCTTCTGGCGAAGAGCTGTTCCTGTCATTATTACAACTTTACAAATAAAGAAATCGAAATTGGACTGGGCACACTGGCTCATGCCTATAATCCCAAGACTTTGGGAGGCCGAGGAGGGCAGATCATGAAGTCAGGAATTCGAGGCCAGCCTGGCCAATATAGTGAAACCCTGTCTCTACTAAAAATACAAAAATTAGCTGGGCATGGTGGCGCGCACCTGTAGTCTCATCTGCTCAGGAGGCTGAGGCAACAGAATCACTTGAACCCTGGAGGTGGAGGTTGCAGTGAGCCGAGATGGTGCCACTGCACTCCAGCATGGGTAACAGAATGAGACTCCGTCTCAAAAAACAAAAAAGAAAAAAAAAAACTCTAGTGGGACTTATATCTGGAAAATCCCTCTCCCACTCTCTCATTGCCCACAGGATTGGCTGCTAGAGTCGTAATTTCTCATGTTAGCCTGGGGTGAAATTGGATTACCGTAGTTGTGGACCTTGCACCCAGCAGCCTCTTTCAGAACCTCCTCCCCAGTGTTCACGTGGTTAGGGACTCTTCTCCTCAGCAGTTGCTTTAAGGAAAGACAGGCTGCTGTCTGGTGACTCATCTGGGGCCTCAGGAGACTGCGTGGATGGCAAGCTGCCCTCTGCTCCCTCGCTCCTCTCCCCTCGCCCTCCTCTGTGGAAGTCCTGCCAGGAAGCCCATGGTCCAGCTCACGTCTCCGCTCAGGTGCCTCTGGCATATGTTACCTAACCAGGGCTAAGACTGGTTTTATCCTACTTCAGACAGTCCAAACAACTCTGAACCTCATTTTCCAGCAGCTGAGTGGCCCTAGGACCCAGGGCCTGTAGGCCTTTGCCTGTCCACACGCCCACGCTGACCACCGCCCTATAGGTCAGAAGCAACCACTCTCACCCCCCACCGCCCCGCCTCTCAGTAGGTCTCTTCTCTCAGCCCCAGTGGCCTGCTCCACTCAGGAATCCAAGCCTGTGGAGGATTGAGCCAGGCCTCCCCGGCTCACGCCTGCAGCCCCGTGATGCTGCCTGATGACTCACCCTCATGCCCATGGCTTCCTCCCACGCTTTATTTCAGGAAATGACTTTCAAGAATGGTCTCGATTTTTTTTTTTTAAACAACAGAAAAATACTTTTCACCTACAGGGAACAAGCGACAATCCCCAATGCCATTAACTGCCCCCACCCCTCCAAAAGAGGCTTTATAAAACCAGGCTAACAAGGACAAGGAAGGGGCAAATAGGGCTGTCCTGGTGAAAGTGGAAGAGTGTTAACCATTTTGCTTCAAATAGGATAGGAAAGGAACAAGGGCAGTCAAGAAGTATGTAAACCTGAGAGAAATCGCATGTTAAGAAAAACTCATCCAGCTACTTTAAGCGCCATCAAGTCTCTATGCCCAGACAAATTGTCCTTGGGTGTGGGTTGCAAATTTTTTAGTAGTATGTAAATCTTAGAAGAACTCTAATTAAAAATTGCCAGCCCGGCGCGGTTGCTCACGCCTGTAATCCCAGCACTTTGGGAGGCCGAGGTGGGTGGATGACCTGAGGTAGGGAGTTCAAGACCAGCCTGGCCAACATGGTGAAACCCTGTCTCTACTGAAAATACAAAACTTAGCCGGGCATGGTGAGGCACGTCTGTAATCCCAGCTACTCAGGAGGCTGAGGCAGGAGAATCGCTTGAACCCGCAAGACGGAGGTTGCGATGAGCCGATCGTGCCACTGCACTCCATCTAAAAAAGAAAAAATACCAAAGAGGCCGGGCGCAGTGGCTCACGCCTGTAATCCCAGCACTTTGGGAGGCTGAGGCGGGTAGACTGCTTGAGGCAAGGAGTTCGAGACCAGCTTGGACAACATGGCAAGACCCCACCTCTACAAAAACACAAGAATTAGCTGAGTGTAGTAGTGGACGCTTGTAATCCCAGTTACTGGGGAGGCCGAGACAGGAGAATCACTTGAACTAGGAGGCAGAGGTTGTAGTGAGCCAAGATCAAGCCACTGCACTCCAGCCTAGGCAACAGAGTGAGACTCTGTCTCAAAAATCAATAAAAGATAAAAACACGAAATAAATAATTTATGAATCTACATTTAAATTAAAATTCATTTAGCATTCACTTCTCATAAAGTCAGTCTATGAAAAAAATTCCATTTTGATGAACACGAAAATTTGAAATAATATAGGCATAATCATTGCAATCTTTTATCAAGCTCAGCATTTAATTTACTTCCATCTATTGTTTTAGTTGCAAAAGATAAACAAATATTTAAAAACAGCTTGCTTTATCATCTGTCTCATCTTTAAACTGATTCAATTTGGAAAAGGAATACCAGAACATTTTTTAACTTTGAAAGTGAATTATTAAGACTATTGAAGCTGGATGCCATGGCTTATGCCTATAATCCCAACACTTTGGGAGGCCAAGGCAAGAGAATCACTTGAGTCCAGAAGTTTGAGATCAGCCTGGGCAACGTAGTGGACTTTGTCTGTGCAAAAAGTTTATAAATTAGCTGGATGTGGTACTTGGGAGGGTGAGGTACTTGACCTCACTTAAGTCTGGGAGGTCAAGGCTGCAGTGAGCCTAGATCGTGCCACTGCATTCCAACCTGGGTGACCAAGGAAGACCTTGTCTCAAAAAAAAAAAAAGACTATTGAATTTCCTGTCCTAAATAAAAAGCTGGACACAAAATACCCAAAACTTTTCATAAGCGGTAGAGCCTCAGGGCGGGTGCATCGCTCGTGAATGCACAACTGAGGCATGACAAGAATATGAACCAAAAATCCTGAGCCTTGTGCAGCAGTTGTCTTCTTGGGAGCATCGTTGCAGGAACAGATAGAAAAGACCAGGGCAGACCCATAACCTTCCTAATCAGTGGCACAGCTCGGTAATTTTTGGTGATAGAAGTCAGAATGGTAACAAGAGGCGATGCTTGTGACTTGGAAGGGACACGAGGAAACTTTCCAGA